AAAAAAAATGTTTAAAATTTTAAAAATATTCACTGAAAATTCAAAAAAATAGGAAAACCAAAAAACTATTAGTTTTCAAAAAATTTAATTTAAAAAACTCAAGCCAAATACACTGATAATACTCTATTCGTTTAATTTTATGAGTTCACTTCCTTACCAAAAAAATAATACTCTATCCGTTTTAAAATATAATTTTTTTAATAGTATAATTATTATATTTTAAAAATATTAATTATCATAATTATACCTTTTGTATTATTAATGAATATAAAAGAAGGATAAAATAAAAAATTTATATTATTTTAATCCTTAAATTTTGAAAACGGATTAATATTTTGAGATAATAACAAATGAAATAAAATATGAAAAAACTACTCATAAATTCCATTTTGGTAAATGTTACTCTAGTTAGTCTTGAGTTTTTTTTTCTTAAACCATTTAGTCCTTTTTATTTTTGGTATGATATATATTTTTAGTATATTATATACGGAGTTTACATTTTTACCCCTATTGATTTCATTGTTATGGGTGATGATGAAAATACCCAAAAACATCATCAACATCAATGGGTATTTTTGAACATCATCAACATCATCAAATATCAACAACGTCATTAACATTGTGAACATCATCAACATCAACTATATCTTCAACATCATCAAACATCCACTATATCTTCAACATGATGCTGGTGTAGTTGATGTTATGTCTCCGACAAAATGATCGAACACCACCACCGTTGCTCGCTTGCAATCCGAGCAGTACACGTTGCCTATCGTCTTCGCTCTTTCTCCTCCAAATTCAAACCCATATCAATATCTTATCGTTCAACACACTACACTTGCTCAACAACCCATGACTTGTTAACTCATCTCTGCAATTCCACAACAAACTCACCCTTTTGTCATCCCCAAATCAATCCTCCAATCACTCGCAACCTATTCACTCCATCTGGGTTTCCCCCAAAACATCCCAATTCCATATACTCACTCCAATCCCCAAATAGGTCCCTTTTTTTCTAGAAATTTAACTTTCACACCAATCAAATCTCTATAAACCATGTTTTCTTACATAGGCATTCACTGAATTGGAAAAAAGTTGGAAAAAAAGTTGTAAAATTTAATAGTAATGGAATTGGGTTTTCAAGGGTTCAGAGTTTCTGTAGTGAATGTGAATTACTAAAAACTACATCAGTTTACATTTACTGATGTTGATGATGCGGATACAGCTGATGTTGTTTATGAGTGATGATGTTGATCTGCCTTCGTGGTTCGCAATCGTCTGCAACGTTTGTTGGGAAATTACCGATCCACACCGATCCAGTACCACCGCCGTGAGATCGTCAGATCCGTCGCTTCGCCACCACTGACCTCTCTGCGTTCGTGGTTCGCAATCGTCTGTAACGTTTGTTGGGAAAAGATCTTTATCCATTCCCTTACGCTTCAACAATCAAGTTCTGATAGTTGATGTCTACTGATGTTTGATGATGTTGAAGATGTAGTTGATGGTGATGATGTTTTACGATGTTGACGATATGTTTTGGTAATGTTGTTATGATGTTCACGATGTTGATGATATGTTTTGATGATGTTGTTTTGATGATGTTTTACGATGTTGATGATGTAGTTGATGATGTTGATGATGTTTTTATGATGTTGCTGAATTTTGATGATGTTTTTTTATTGATGTTTGGTGATGTAGTTGATGGTGATGATGTTGCTAATGTTGATGAATTGAGGAAAATCTAAAAAAAGCCTATAGTAAGTTTCTTGGGCAATTCGGTAAATTACACATAAACACCAACTCAAAATTACCCCCTCAATTACTGATTTAGACTCGTAAAAAAATGGGTACTAATGTCTTTACACATAAAATAGGACCTATTAATCCAACAAAAAAACGTCGGGACTAAATGGGTTGACATTCCCAAATTAGGGATTTAATGGTGCTTTCCCCATAAAATATTTTAAAACGGTGGGAATAATAACCTTTGGCAAAGGTCTCTTTTGCAAAGATATCTAAAAGTCAAAAGTCAACTTTTAATTTATTTTAGATCGCATTATCTTTTTATTTTTTTACATATTTTTTTTAAAAAAATAAAAAATCAACTTTTAATTAACTTTTTAAAATAATTCAAAATTGTAAAAAATAATGTCACGCGCATTTAGGCTTGGTTTGACATAATAAAAAAAAGTCAAAAAATCACTATCCTATTTAAGTCACATCATTTTATTTAAGTTATATCATCTATCTGTCACATCACTTCAAACTCAACTCATATCCAACCTATATTTTATAAAAATTTAAAAAGTACACTTATTTAATTTATCCTAAACAATCTCCTTAATTAAGATGTACATTCAAGTAACGTAATGTGCATTTAATTAAAATGTAGAAGGTACGTGGTTTGGTTTTATCGTAAGTGCTCGTTTTTTTTTTAAGTTAAAAAATCATAAAAGTCAAAAAAATTAAAAATTATAAAAGGATAAATTTTTTTTTTGACATTTTAAAATTAAAAAATTCAAACAAAAAAAATCAAACCACAAAAAAATTAAAAAGGTAATAAAAAAGGCATTGCCAAACCACCCTATTTATCCCGTGAGTCTGTTTATGCCGTACTCAAGACGGCTTCGATTATTACGCCTTCTGGCACGCACCTTTATGTCTCACGCTAGTTCATTGAGGAATTTTTCATGGATAATTCGCTCCTTTTTTTCTTTCTTTTTTTCCTTTTTTTTTTTAATGGATAATTTTGTTTATGGAAGGATTCAATTAAGGGGTTATTTGGAAGTATTAGATTAATATTGTTTATGGAAGGAGTCAATTAAGGGGCTATTTGGAAGTATTAGATTAATATACTTTTAATTTTTTTATGAAAAAATATGAAATATAAATTAGGTTTAAAGTGATGTAATAGTAAAGTAATGTAACTTAAATAAGATGATTGTAACCTAATTAAAAAAATGTGCTAAAATAACACTTGCTATTTTAATACATACCAAACAACCACTAAACATATTTTCCCTAAGGTTGCCGTCAAGTATATGGATTTTTCTGGAATTTTATGAAATTACACTAATATTTCTATTTTAGATATATCGACATATTTTGATAATTGGATTAAAAGTCAAAAAATTAATTTTTTAACTTTTTTTTTGTCACATCATTTTTTTTATTTTTGTACAAGTTTTAAAAAAAAAGATAAATTATAAATACACTCCCTGAAATTTGATTAAAATACTAATCGCCCCATGTAGTTCTGAAAATTACATTCCATCTCCTGAGGTTTTTAATTTCATAACAAATCATCCATTTTATTAAAAAATCATTAAGTCAATTAATAGTTTTCAATGATATTAAAAATATATTTCAATTAATAATTTAGGTAATTTTATTATTGTATAGAACAACAATTATGAATTTTATTTTTTTGGTTAATTCTGTTAAATAAAAAATTCTAAAGGGGTATTTATAATTTTCCAAATCATAGAGGATAATTTGTATTTTAAACAAACCTCAGGAGGTGTAATTGTAATTTACCTAAAAAAAAAGTTAAAAAATTAATTTTTAACTTAATTTCCAAAATAGGCCATTATCTAACTTAGAAAGGCTCTAAGTGCATTTTAATCTTTCCATTAGGAATGACTTTAAATGCATCTCACAAATTTGATTGGACTCTCTAATTTTCAAATAAAAAATATTCATATTATTATACCCTTAAATAAAATTACCAAAAAGTTCAAGACCCTAAACTATTTTTGGCAGCTCTTTCACACTCCGATTAGCCTCTCCTTACTTCTAATAGTCGTTCACCACGGCTCCCTCTGCTCTAGCAAGCCATACACCATCACCTTCTCTTATTTCTTTTTCTTCTTTTCCCCTCATTTACTCCTATCCACCGCCGCCACCTCTTCTTCTTTTTCTTTGCCTGAAAAACCCCAACATAGTATCCTCTTTTCTCTCCTCTCTCCTCTCTCCCTTCTTCTACTCTCCCTTGCTCTTTTACTCATTGCCACCGCTTTATTTTATTTTTCTTCTTTGCCTGCATAATCCTAACCCTTCATTCTTTTCCACCACAAATCCCTTTCCTGTCATGAAATCCCTTCCAACACCTTCGGAAACCTTTGATCTAGAGGTTTTGAAAGGAAGAGGAGAAGGATAAGAAGGAAAATAAAAAAGAAAGAGAAAATGAGGAAGCGATGGACGGCATAGAAGGTGGGAGATGTTGGGAGGCAATCGTGGCTATGGCCTGGCAGCAGAGGCCATAGTGGTGGCCCAACTGCAGAAATGCTGGAATAAGAGGGTTTGAGAGGTGAGGAAAGGATTGGAATTTTTTGGGGTGTTAAAACAAAAAATCCAAAATTTGAATTTAGAAATGGGGTGTTTGAAGTAATAGGGTCTCTAACCAAATTTAGGAGGTGCATTTAGAGCTACCCCTTAATTTTTTTAAAATATTATTTCATTCCTTAGATAACTAGTCAAAGTAATCGAAATCCTAACTATAACCAACTGCCTAGCTCCATCCAACCCCAAACCTCGGTCACTCTTTAACCCCTTTTGCCACACTTTAACCCTTCTTTACCATCCGGCGCCAACCCTCATTCTTTTCTGTACTACATTGCCACCCCAGTCCCTTCCTAGCATCTTACTGTTAGGGGTGAGCATGGTCTGAATTGGGAGAAAACCAGGACAAATCCGTTATCTACGGTTCTTAAAAAATTAAAACCAATCTAATCCATTTAAATTGTGGAACCAATCCGAACCAATCCGTTAAAACACGAATTGGATCGGTTCACGACCATGAATTTAAATAATTAAATAACAAAAAAAATATACAGCACAATATGGGTGGACAGCCTCTTATTTTGCTATATGTCGTTACAGTAGCTTATCATCAACATATGTACTAATATCTAATATCTATACACATACACAGATGACTGATTATCTTCATGATTGAACAAGTAGAAAAAACAGTAATGCTAGAACACTCGCAAATATACCAACAAACAAACCAACTAAGATACAAGAACCGCATGTTGACGTAGGGTTCACATTCACCAAATAGTCTAGTTAATATGATTGTTAGTGTCCCGAACATTATTGGTAAAACAAATTATGATGCTGTCTCTTATAAATCAGAAACTGCTCCTAAACTTCAGAATATTGTCTAGCTTTTGGCTTAGGAGGAGGGGGGGCATACCTTTGAACCTGAAGGAGTTTCAGGTTGAGGATCATGTTCTTTATCAAATTGAGACTGAGAGAGGTCAATTACATCATTTGTGTCTCTGGTACTTGACATCTATTAAACAAGAGAAAGAAATAAATCAAAAAAAAAATATGTATATACATATATACATATATACAGCCTGAATCATTACTGGGTAATAGCATGCTTTCATGGCTGTAATTTCTCCATGGTTAGACGAAACAAAGCTAAAATGGTACATGATTGAGGATTAACAAAATAGGGCTCTTCATAATTGCTCTTCTTGTTAATGGTTTTGAATTTTGTTAATACATATATACATAAGTCTATTCATTTATCAATTCAAACAATACCTAGACAGATTGCCTCAGACTCTACCAAGCTTAATCAGTAAAGTCAAGACTCGGGAGCTCGCAATAGATTCACAATCTTCACCAGCTAACACTAACAAAAGCCCATTTCCTTCGCTTCACAAATAAACAAACTTAGGGATAATGGTTTGAAATAGAACTTTTTGCCCCCAAAACTCATTTAAAAAATGAGGGTCCAATCTGTTTTCTGATGTATTGCAAAGTAAAACAAATATGCCTAGTCACTGCACCTATTGAGAAAAGAAGATTTTTCACTTTGGACATTTTGGACCAAGTATAAAACTCGACAAGCATGGATTACATAAGAATCATTGAATAACAAATGCACAAAGAAGTGCATATCATCATGATGAAAATATCTTACAACAAAAAATATCACTTTAAAGCTTACTGCACTTAGCAAATAAAAATACAAAATTCAAGTACTCTCAAATTAAATACTGTCTAGTTCAGAATGAGAGGAATGCTTACTGTGGATTCTTAGGTACATACAAAAGTTAAAGAAAAAACATACACTGTGGATTAATTTTTTTACTTATATTTAAAAATAAAACAAACAATAGAAAATAGAGATGAAATCAGAAAAAATAAATAAATAAACAAATAAAAACAGAAAACAGAAAATAGAACACAGAAAAAAAAAGAATAAAAATAAAATGAAAACAGAAAACTAGATATAAAAATAAAAATAAAAACAGAAAAAATAAAAATAATATCTCTTCCTTACATTTACCGAATCCATTGTAGATGACATGAACAATCGATTTGAGATTAAATCCACTGATCTGAGATGAAATCACAACAGTGTATTGTGTATGTTTTTTCTTTGAGATTAAACCAATTTCAGAGTGTTAGAAAGAGAGAGAGACAGAGAAAGAGAGAGAGGAGCTCACCGAGAGAGAGAGAGAGACAACAACTATAGCCACTGATCCGATCTGAGATAGAAGATCTAGAAACAAAGGAACAAAAATAGTGTCACCGAGAGAGAGAGAGAGACGAGCAGCACACCGTCGCCGATCTGATTTGAGATGGATGAGAGTGTGAGAGACAACTCAGTCTGAGATGAGAAAGAGAAGAGAGAGAGACACCATCGACAAAGAGATGAGATAAGGCGTGAATGAGTGAGGCGTAAATTAGGTCACATTTTAGTTTTTATATGAGAGAAGAAATTATATTGTGTGGAAAAGTATATAGTATAAATATAGATTATTTTTAGATGGTTCGGATCGGTTCCACGTGGCCTACGGATTTTGAAAATTTCAATCCGGAACCGAACCATAGATTCAAAAAACCAATCCAAACTTATCGGATTGGACTAGACTGGATCAGATTACGGATTTTGTGGATTTCTTGCTCAGCCCTACTTACTATCTTATGTGTGATAATGGTATGGGATTGGTGTTTGGACTCTATAAGAAGGCCTCCCAATTAGAAGAGTAAGGAACCTTTGTGTAATTCATTTCAACAGTCCTGGTAACCATCAGCAAATACAAAAATCAAAAAAAGGTAAGCGGTCATTTGGCAAGTGGTAAATAAAAAAGTTAAAACAAAAATTTTACTCATATAAAAAAGTCAAAGATACATTTTCATTCATTCTATTTTTTTGTATTTTTTTATCCGTAAATAGTCAAAAAAATCTTTCCAAAGTATATATATTATTTTCATCTCATATTTTAGCAAAAAAAATACTAAAAAAGTTGCTCCCAAAATCAGAATTTAGGTTCAAATTTTGCCCAGAAAGTTGATGTATGGTTCATATTTAGTTACTAAATGGTGGGAACTACATAAAAAACAATAAATCACCAAAAAAGTTTAGGTGCATAGAAGATTTCAAATACAAAATATACAAATGTGACACATATAATCGCAGATAGAGATACAAATATATATATATATATATATATATATTTATTTTTTTGCCTCATATCTATATATTATGTGTATAAAATTTCTATACATTATGTGTTTAAAATTTCTATGCACATAGCACAGTTGTAAATCACCACAAACCAACAATTTTCTGAGTAAATTTCTAAGTAAAAATTGTGAGTGAGTAGAAATTACTTCACAAAAAAAAGCAAAGAGAACCCGTCCAGTTTGCTACCTTTTCTCTTAATTCTATTTTATTAAGCGCACACACAACAACAAAAACTACACAAGAAGTTAATTTGGAAACTTCATTTAGAGCAAAGTAGGATTATTATGTGTCAACAAGCATTCAAAATTACAAAACTAGTTGCTTTTAGTATATTTTAACACAAAACTTGTTTAATGGTTAAAACTTGAATTAATAAGGGCGAATATGAGGACAATCATTGTGTAAAATGTGTGCATGTCAACGAGTCTTCAAAATTGCAGCCCTAACTACTTTTGTATAGTACAAAACTAGTTTAATAGTTAAAGTTTAGATCCCGGTTGAGAATTAATTATTTTAATTAAATTTTTAAATTTTTATGAAAAGATGTACATAAGATGTACATAAAGTATGGAGAGTGATGTGATAAAAATAACTTTTTTACTATAAACCCATGCTGCAAAACGAAACCTAATATTGATGTTATGGGTTTGAATATGAGGACAGTCACTATATATATAGATAGGATATTCCACGTATCTACCAAGGTGTATTGTCCTTTAACACCTACAAACGCATTAAGCCCCTGCATACTCTGAGTACTAAAAAATATGTTTAACTCCAAAAATAAATTACGGAGATTCAAACCCAAGCTTCGAACGAGAAATCTATACTAACTGTGTTTAATTACATTATATATCTATAAATTATAAGTGTAAATTTGAGCAGTGTGCACACCCTTTTAGTTAATCAAAGAGAAGACTTCTTGGTAATGGCATTCGAGCTCTCTTCGGAGAATCCCATAATTAGATGTCCAAATGTGATAGTTTTATTAACCAGTTGACTGTCTGCATGATATCTGCTAGTGTAAGTTTGAGCACATGGTACAAAAGATGGGGGACATTATAAGAGCTTCAATTCTTGGTCAAAAAAACCAACTGCTTCATAAAATAGGGTATATGCGGAGACAAGCCCACTAAAAATATAGGTATGTTCTAGCTGCTAGTATACACGATATGTGTACAAATATATGTGGTTGAGAAAACACATGAATAATTGAAATTTTGAACATCTGAATTTTTTATTTTTTATTTTTTATAGTGATAGTTTTCAATTATTATATGTATTTTTGGAATAGAAAATTCGTGACATTTACATCAACTTCAGACTTCACTTTATGGGGGTGTTTGGGAAGAAAAAAAATAGTCTAATTTAGGCTAAAATTCACAAAAAGACAAAATAGGCTAAAATAGCTAATAAGACTAAATATCACATCAAACCCATAATCATTTTACTTTTTCTCTCACAAACATCACATCCAACCATAAAAAAATCCAATCATCTTCCCAAACACAAAAATTTTAGCCTACTAAAATAGCCAAAAACTAAAATAACCTACTAAAATAGCAACTTCCCAAACGAAGCCTATATGTAGTATCATTACTAAAAAAAGAATTTTTTATAACCATTACAAGCCGTCACAAATAATAGAAATACAGTCGCAAAAAACGTTTTGTAACGGCCCATGCAACGGCAAATAGGGGTCGCAAATGCAGGGGTTGCAAATACTTTTTGCGACCGCAAAACAGTAGTCTCAAACTATTTGCGACAGCCTAATCTACTTATGGCGACTGATGTTTTGCCATTGCAAAAAAGTAAAAAAAATGCATATAATGTATTAGCAACTATCTTGTTACTGTTGCCAAAAAAGAAGAATAAATGCCTACTGTAATAACCCGATTCTCTTATATGCTGCTTATACTCTAATTTCCTCATTATCTATGTGATTATATGTTTGATGTGAAATTCCATGTTTAAATGTGTAAATTATGTGCTTATGAGATTGTATCTGTCGGTTATAAGAAAATCTGTTGAAATTACGACTTTTGTACAGCAAATTGAAAGCCTTAGAGGTGCGATAAACCGAAATTGACTTTACAGTTATAATTAGCATGATTTTTAGAATATAATATGAAATTTTGTTAAAATTTCATTCGTAATGAATTAATTAGATTTATTTAAGCCAAACCCTTAACTAAGTTGAAATTGACGACTTTAATGGGTTTAGAAACTGAAATTGAGTACATGGTTATGCCAATGAGAATTTTTAGAGCCATTTGGGAAATTTAATTGAAAATTGATTTCGTCTAATTCGTTAAATTATGTTTGGTTGGCCTAAATAAATATATATGACATGTTATATATATTTGAGCTCTTCTTTAACCCTTGGACGAGACAAAAAAAGTGGAGAGAAAGAAAGAGTTCTAGAGAAAGAGAGAGAGAGAGCTCTTAGAGAAGAGGGAAAGTGTAGAGAAACTCAAAATTTGGCTTGGATTTGTCAAGATTATTCAAAATCAAGTGTTCATGAAGACTCTAGCTAAGATTTTACTTCTCAAACCTTGAAGATCATGAATTAAGAGTTGGCTTACGGAGTTTATGGAAGCTTTTACATGAATTTTGTCATATAAGGTAAGAACATAGTATGATTTCATGAGATTCATGTTTATAACTTGTTTTCTTGCATGATTTCTAAGATTCTTAAAGATTTCAAGGGACTTTCTACATGGATTTTGAAAGTAGAACTCATCACATGTATAGCTTTTGATTTTGTGCTTGACTTCAAGTTTTTAAGCTTGTAAATGGAATTTTGGATTTGCTTTGAAATCATGATTTTCATTGAAGTTAGAATTGTTTAATTCAACATGGTCTGAATTGTTTGTAATATGATATGGTGGGTCCAAGGCCATTTCGTTTATCCGTTTCATTTATGCTATGACATGATATGAATTGTTTGGTCTTTAAAACCTATTGATTTCTGGTATGGAACAAAGTGTTGTATGGAACTAAGTGCTATAGTGGGAGTCACCTCTAGAGTCCGTACGAGTCACCTCTTGGGTCCATACATACATAAATGTTGGGCCTGAGGCCGTTTTGATATGTGCAAATTGGGCCGAGGCCATTTTGATAAATGTTAGGCTCAAGGCCGTTTTGATATGTACAAATTGGGCCCGAGGCTGTTTTGATAAATGTTGGGCTCGAGGCCGTTTTGATATATGATTGGGCCCGAGGCTGTTTTGATATACGATTTTGTCACGACCCAAACCCGCCTCTAAAGGTTTAGCATCGTAACCGACCAGTAATCCTTGGATTACCAAAGGCCTCTTGACAGAACAACATATGGTAAGGGGCTGCGGAAGCAAATATAGAGAATATACAATGTCCATAGAGCTGTGTTAACATATATGAGACAGAAATTTTCAAAACAAACTTGTAAAAATATATATAACGTCATAAATACATTAATCATGCGTCACCCATTCATAAAAATGAAACCAAAAAGGGGACTTAGCCCAGTGTACGGATAAGCAAACAAGTAGAAATATCTGTAGTAAGGTTACAAAACTAAACATCTCGAAAAGAAACCTCACTGGGAGGCACAGAAGGGTGGCTGACAAAAACTGAGATGACAGGTCCTCAGCTCTGAACCTAGTCACGTGTCTACTCACCTATATACATAAAATAAATAGTGAGCTGGAGCCCAATGAATAATAACAAAGTAAAGGGTTTAATGAATGTTGTTCATAATAGTTACAGAAAACAGAATTCAGTAGTTATCAGAAATGGATTCATAATCATGTTCAGAAATTAGAGTTTATGCTTTGTTATACATGGTACATCCATTAGCATTAACTTGCTTGGTAGCTCTATTGGGAACCTCTGGTACCGGGAAAACTTGTAACTTGCTTGAACCACGGTATTGTTACTCCCGGGTAAGGGCCATCAGACCACGGTATTATTACCCCCAGGAAAAGGCCTTGCTTATAAAGGCACGGTATTATTACCCCCGAGC